TGCCAGAGCCGGGGAAACCGTTGATTTTGTACTTGTCAATAACCGACACGACAATGGGCTGCATGCTTGCATAGGAATCTGAAGATAGAGTGGAGAAAGCCATCTATTACCTGAGCAAGAAGATGCTGGAATATGAGACTTGTTACACTTTGCTGGAGAAGGCTTGCTTGGCCTTGGTATGGGCTACCAGAAAATTGAGGCACTACCTATTAGCTCACTCCGTAATTCTGGTTTCGAGATTAGATCCCATCAAATAGCTCTTCTAGAAACCAGCACTTACAGGCAGGCTAGTTCATTGGCTGCTTCTTCTTTTTGAATTTGATTTGAAGTATATGACTCGCAAGTCTATGAAGGGGAGAGCGGTAGCGGAGCTCTTAGCCGATCACCCAGTGGAGGGGGATGAAGCAGTAGAGTATTTGTTACCAGATGAGGCCATTCTACAGGTCAAAGAAAAGATTTGGACTATGTACTTTGACGGAGCATCTAATCAGTACGGTTATGGGATAGGGATGTTGCTGATAGCATCCGACAATTCCCATATACCTTTAGCTTTCAAACTCCGGTTCAAGGTATCTAATGACGAAGCAGAATACGAGACATGTATTGCTGGCTTGGAAGCCGCCCTGGAACTAGGGCAAAATGGTTGGACGTCATTGGGGACTCGAACCTGGTTGTGTCTTAAGCAAAAGGAGACTAGAAGGTTAAAGAAGAAAGGATAAAAATCTATCACCAAACCCTGGATATTCTGATTCCCAGGTTTGAGAAGCTAACCTTCACGCATCTGTTAAGAGAGAACAACAGGTTCACTGACACTTTATCAACTCTATCTTCCATGATAAACATCCTCTTGGGAGTCCGGATGCATCCGATCATTGTTGAACAGAGGTATGTGCCGGCCTACAAGCTGATCGCCCAAAAGAAGAAGTACAAGATCAGAACCCCTGGTATCATGACATCTGGAACTTCTTGGAAAATGAGGCTTATCCACTAGGGGCAAATGCCAAAGATAAGAGGGCAATACAGCGAATGGCCTCTCAATTTATCATCTGCAGGGGTAAAATATACAAACGAGGCCATCTGGGAATGCATAAACTGTGTGTCGATGCAGAAGAGTCGAAGCACCTAATGGAGGCTATCCACAGAGGAGAGTGCAGATCGTACATGAGCGGGGTGATACTAGCTCGGAAAATTCTCAAGCAACATTACTACTGGTCAACCATGGAGGAGGATTGTATCGATTTTGTTCAGTGATGCCACAAATGCCAAATTTACGCAAATCGCATGAACATCCCGCCGTCGATGCTATACAACATGACTTCACCAGGGGCATTTTCAGTCTGGGAAATTGATGTTATTGGGGTAGTTACTCCGAAGGGGTCAAACGGGCATGAGTATATCCTGGTGGCAATAGACTATTTTACGAAGTGGGTCGAGGCCCAATCCTATGCAATGTTGAAAGCGTCGCACGTAGCCAAGTTCATCAGGAATAACATCATCTGTCATTATGGGGTCCCGAATGAGATCATCTCGAACAATGGTTCCCACTTCAAGAAAGAAGTGATTGACTTGTTGGAGAAATACAACGTGGCTTTTCATAAGTCGTCCACGTATCGACCGCAAACCAACGGAGCTGTTGAGGCCGCCAACAAGAACATCAAGCACATTCTACAAAAGATGGTGGAAACCTATAGGGACTGACCAGACAAGTTGCCATATGCTCTCTGGGGCTACAGGACATCAATTCGAACGTCTACTGGGCCAACTCCATATTCTTTGGTTTATGGGATGGGAGTTATTTTGCAGATTGAAGTTGAAGTTCCATCGCTGCAGCTTATGGCTAAGTACCAAATAGCAAAAGCGGATTGGCAGCAGAGTAGGTTCGAGGAACTAATATTGTTCGACGAGAGGAGGCTGAAAGCACTATACCATGTCCAAGGATATCAACACAGGATTGCTAGGGCTTTCAACAAGAAAGTTAAGTCTAGGAATCTGAAAGAAGGGGATTTGGTGCTCAAAGACAATTGAGCTCCCATCCACGACCCTAGGGGCAAGTTCAGACCCAATTGGACTGGTCCTCACATCATCAAATCAATTTGGTCGGGTAGAGCTGTCATTTTTATGGATCTAGATGGCCTGGAATTCTTCTAACCAATCAACATGGACAAGTTGAAGAAATACTATCCTTGAGTGGCTCGCTAGGCTGAAAACCCGAAAGGGCGACCTAGGCAAAAGTTAGAGCACAAAAAATTAGAAAAAAGCAAAACTGAACTCGCAAGGTTGAAAACCCATAAAGGGCGGCCTTGGCAAAAGTTAGAGCGCAAAAGGAGAGTGTTAATACCCGAGTAAACCCGAACTGAACTACGTAAGGCTTGATTCCCATCTTCGGGATACATAGGCAACTTCATTCTAAAGTTCAGCCATAAACACTTCCAAATCCACTATGTCCATGAGATTGTTTTGGTCATCTTTGTCTTTTCTGCATCGAAGAGTTTGATTGTGGTCTTCACTATGAGAGTTGGTTACAGTGCAGTGCAGTGTAGTGCTATTCAAACAAGGGGTAACTTTCTGTTCGTTGGATTCGGGGTTGTACATCTCGAGGATAGATTCCAGGTGTGTCCAGTTGTGATCCTTATCGAAAATCGTTTTGAAAAGTGTTAATAAAAACTGATTTTGTTCAAATTAATCTTTTTACAACTTAGACCATTTTGGACAAAACAGAAAAATTTCGGTGCCCACAACTTCAATTTCATTGATTTCAATACAGAGTTCACTACCTCTTGATACAAATCAAAGTTGCTTTTATTACATTCAAAAGGAAAACTTGAAAGTTAGATCAAAGCAATAAACTTGGGGCACAGGTAAGTCAGGTGTTCTTGCGTCCCCTCTGATCCTTATCGAAAATCATTTTGAAAAGTGTTAATAAAAAATGATTTTGTTCAAATTAATCTTTTTACAACTTAGACCATTTTGGACAAAACGGAAAAATTTCGGTGCCCACAAATTCAATTTCATTGATTTCAATACAGAGTTCACTACCTCTTGATACAAATCAAAGTTTCTTTTATTACATTCAAAAGGAAAACTTGAAAGTTAGATCAAAGCAATAAACTTGGGGCACAGGTAAGTCAGGTGTTCTTGCGTCCCCTCCCAGAGCTTGTGGAAGTTTCAGATGCTAAGGTAGGCCCAGTTTGCGCCTCATCCTCGAGCCAAGCTATACATTCGCCAGAAAGGGCGCAACTGAAATTAGGAGCGAGAGCCAAAAGTTCTCTTGTCCTCCATGCAGTGGGATATCAAGCTAGCTATGAACCTCGGATCGGAAATGAAGCCGGGTACTCTACCCACTCTTCTGGGCAAGTCTGGTCATGTCCGAACTGACGCCTGAACCAAAATAAAAAATAGAAGACATAGTGTGTCAAGCCAATCAACTGAATGCCAGGTTGCTGGGCCATGTTGTAGCTCATCTCAGGCAAATCAAACCGGCGGCAATGCCAAGCAATGTCAACAGCGGACCTATTGCACATCTAGTAGCAACACCACCCCTCGTTCGGGAAATCAACTAGCTGTTGGTGAAAGAAATAGCCTCGTGCCAAATATGCAGGGCAAGAGTCCACTACCTTCAACCCGTCCATGAGCCATACCTAGGGAGGGATGAAAAATAAGAGAGATTAATGAATAGAGAGGTGTATGTGGAGAGAAAAAGTGAGAAAGGGTTTTAGAGAGAAAAACAGAGCCTGAGGGCTGAGTGATGTAAGAAACACACGTGAGGTGGGGTGAGAAACATTACCTGCAAGAGTAATGGACTCCCTGCGAACTTGTTTGTCTCCCGGCAATGGAAGGTGTCTAAGCCCATCAAAGTCTCGGCCAATGCTAAGCCAATGCAGCCCTTGCCCTCTTTCAAGCCTTGGGCTACTTCGATTAAGCGAATGCCAGACCCTCTGAAGCCAGGGGCAAGCCGGAAATGAGCCAGCATACCCAAGCAAAGGGCATATTGCCGAAAACCTTGCCAAAGACGGTCGCTGTAGTCGCCGACGTCAGAAAACTGATGAACCAAACTGGGAATATTCAGCTCTCCATTGTGAACCAAAGATCGGCCATCGTGTAAACTGAGCCCACACATCCTTCCTAAAGCTTGGATGTCACTAAAATAGGACTGGGGCAAGATTTCCTCATCACGTCGGGATTCCATTAGTACTTGGAATTCTTCAATTGTAGAGCACACCTCTAGCCCCCCGAAGTTAAACACATGTGTAACCGGGTTCCAATATCTAGCCGCGGCTTGAAGGAACGGAAAGCACAGCGGAGTAGAACTTAGCGAGAATAATGCATTTATCTTGAAACCCTAAAAATTCACTTTTTCCAAACCATCGAGAGTTGCAATCTAAATTGAAAGTTTTTCGGTGAAGAATGGCTCCATTTGTGGCAAAATAGAGCTGGAATGAAGAAACTACAAAGTCCCAACTTTTGTAGAAGATAAGGTGCTGAGTGGAAGATAGGTGGCAACAATCTGAAGGTTCCCAGCACTAGTGACCGATCGGCTAGTGTTGTAGCCGACCGGCCAGTGCTAGTGGCCGGCAGCCACTTTTGGTGGCCGACAACCTCTGCCTATAGCCGACATAATTCCTATGGCCTTCCTATGTGTTGGGAATGTTGGGAACCTGTGTTTTGTTCTACTCTTGGTGCATTTTGCCGCCTTGTTCGAAGAGTTTTGATTGAGTTGCTCTTTATGTAGTTTCTCTTTGCTTATCAAGTTGTTTTGTTGTTTTGCTTATCGAGTTGTTGTTTTGTTTATCGAGTTGTTGCATTAGTTGTTCATTAAGTTGTTTTATTCTGTTTGTTATGTGTTGGTTAGTTCATTACCTAATTAAGAAGTTGCCAATACAGTGTACAATATTCAAATTCCGTCAAGTCCTGTTTTCGTGTAAAATGGTGCAATGCGATGTTCAGAATGTAAAACACAAACATGCTTTCATCAAAAAGTCGATTTTTCATTCCAATCATGGTTTCTTTTTACAAAAGAGTACAAGTTTTTAAGAAAATAAAACAATACAATGTGCTAACACTACCAGCTAAAAAAAAAAAAAAGGCAAAAGAGACTAAGCAAAACATCTAAATCAATGCCATCCACCTCAGGATCGAGAGGCCCTCTTCGTCCTCTTCCTGGGCATGGACTCAGAGCTATCACCATCAGCGTCGCTGTCAAAGGCCCCCGAGTCTGAGCTAGTTGTTGAACCAGCCTCAGCATCATCTCCGCCCTTAGAATTTGAGCCGACATCGCTCTCTCCGTCTTCAGATGACTCTAATTGTGGACTCGCTACCTCCTCGTCCTCACTCGTCTCATCATCATCATCGTCTAGAATGGGCTCTGAAGGGCCACCCTCATCATGGGTGCCCCTAGCTCTACCTCGACTGCGAGCCGGAGCTCCTGTCTCTCTCTCTCTCTACTACCGGAGGAGGTATAGATGGTCCTGCTGTAGGTCCCGCTGGAACGTCCAATGTGCCCGGGATCTGAAAAGGGCAGTTTGTCAAATACATCAGTCATGGTGTAGACCTAACGCAAAAAGATACAGTTCAAATGCAGTGTTTGAGTACAGTGTTTGAAAGTAGTGTTCGAATGTAGTGTATGAGCACAGTGTTTGAATGCAGTGTTTAAGTATAGTGTTTGGGTGCAGCATTTGACTGCAGTGTTTGAGTGCAGTGTGCCAGAACAGTGCAGTCTAGAACAACTTATGTTTGAGATGCTGATGTATCGGCAGGAAGTCTCATGGCATGAAGTGCAAACTGAAGTAAATTGCCGGAATCCTGTAGAGGCTGAGCAGGTTCATACTCCTCTGCACCATCTGCGTCAAGGAAACCACTAGCTCGAGGACCTGCCCGGTGTACTCTATAGGTGCCTGCAAATGTGTTGAGAAGATTAGTGTTCTATAAAGCATAACTGAAATCAAGTAAATATGCAAAATGTAAAGTATGGTATATACTAGAGTCAGGCCTCAAACCCCGACAAGCTCATACCCAGCTGGTGCGGGCTCAATGGGAATCTAGTAAGCCTCCCCGGAATGTCGTCGATAGGTGAGTGTGGTAGGTAGCTCCGGCCACCTAGCCCTCTGTCTCGCCCCAGAACCTCTCCTGCCATAGGTCCTGGTCGCTCCGGCCCCTCTACCTCTCTCTCCCACAGTTGGAGCCCTTGGTCTCTCATCTCCACGGGCCCCGGTCAGAGGTGGCATAAGGTATGTCTGGATGAAGGCTATGAAGTCACCCTCGACTCAGAAGAAGTCGACGTCCCAGCCTCGGGTGAAATCGATCATCTCCTAGGAAGTGTACCTCTCTGTGACTCTCATGTATGTCGGAGGCGGAATCGGAACTACTGGCTTAGGCAAGCTGATGGTCTGACGTAAGAATCACTCCCCTAAGAACCATGCTCGACAAACTGTGCCATCGAGCAGGATCCGAAAGTGAGAAGCCACTCGGTCACCAGCGAACTGATCTCTGACTCCCTCAGGCATCATCACCCAAGGCTGCCAAGTGATCTGTAAATAGAGAAGGTACAGATTGTTAGCTATCATCAAATATTGCAATATGAGTTAGAATCGAAGGAAAGTGGAAATAAATAGAGAAGCTGGAGTTACCTCAGTCGCGGTCACGGTATCGAAGTATCGGCGAAGAAGGGAAAGGACTCCCGGGAACTCTCGGAAAGTAGGCGTATACCCATAGCTACAGAAAGCGACAAGGGCAATAGTGAGTATGCAACAGAGTATGCAAAGTAGAAAGTAGATTGTGCGTTTGCAGTGTACAGTATGCGTAGTGAACAGAGTATGCAAAGCAAAAAGCAGATTTTGCGTGTGCGATGTACAGTGTGTGCAAGTACAGAGTATGTAAAGCAGAAAACAGATTGTGTGTGTGCGGTGTACAATGTGTGTAGTGTACAGAGTATGCAAAGTAGAAAGCAGATTGTGTGTGTGCGGTGTATAGTGTGTGCAGTGTACAGAGTATGTAAGGCAAAAATCATATTGTGTATGTGCGGTGTACAGTGTGTGTGCAGTGTACAAAGAATGCTAGGCGGAAAGCGCAGTAGGAAATACAAAATAGAGAAGTGAGGCGTACCTCCCAGGCCCTCCAGTAGCCTTCTATCAGATGCCCGCTCCTGCGAGACGTCGAGCTCACGTACCCGTACAAGGTGGCCAAGCCAGCACCGCCCCAATCGTAGAGTCGGACTTAAGACAGGTCCACCAGAGCACTCATGAGGTATAGCCCGATGGTGTTCGCCCGGTCGGTGAATAGGGTAGTGCCAAACAGGAACATCAGGAAACCTCGAGCATACTACTCGGTCAAACAATTTATAACCGAGTCTGAGCTAGTTGTTGAACCAGCCTCAGCATTAATGGGATATCAACAATCATTTGATCAAAACACATTTTTGTTAACTATTTATTTCTAAAATTATATTTTACCATAGACAAAAATATGATCAGATTAAGTAGCTATTGATACCCAATTAACATTATTTTTTTGAAGGGATGAATTATTGAACGAAATGAAGGAATTACCTAACGAGCCCTACATATTAAATAGTTTAGATTATTGCCATTGGACCCGTAGTGAACTCCATAAACCTAACAATATTCTCCAATCTGATTTCAGAGTAGACCAACTTGATCCATTTTATTAATACCATATCAATTTCAATCATCACACAAATTTAATAATATTATCACTAAGTAAATATTCTTTATCTACATATTTGTGTGTAAGAAAATGCAGATAGAATTGAAAATATTCTATTGGCCTTAATTTATAAAAGGAAAAAAAATATTGTATATTTATATATAGAGTAAGTTGATGATAAATCTAATCTAAGAAAGATATAAGACATCAAGTCTAGTAAATATTTTTTATTTGTGAGAGGGCTACTCTTTATAAAATTGTTTAGTGAGAAGTACTTTTGTTATTGTAAGAGGACATTTTTTATTTATAATTTTACCTTAATTTATGACTTTTTTTTGTTTGTTGACTTTTCATTAATTATCTGTTCAAAATTTTTGTCCATACATTCAAATATCTGTCCAAATTTGATTATCTGTACAATTTTATTTTCCATTTTTGCTATTGATTAAAATACCACGCCAAATCAATAATTTTATCTGTTGAAATAACAATCTTATTTTAATTTTTTTGATCTATCTATGTACCTATCTGTAAATTACAGAGTTATCTGTGCAATTGCTAGATAGATTTATCTGCTCAAATCTCTCTCTTCCTCATCTGTTCAACACAATATATATATATATATATATGTAATCTGTTGCAATATGTTTCTTTATCATTATCAACAGATCTAAATTTACATTAAAAAAATAAAACAAATATAAAAAAAAAATCAGAACAGAGAGAGAGAGAGAATGATCTTAGTCTCACCGGCGTCTCCTAGGTTTCCAACAACTATTGATCTAAACCATAAATTCTTAAAATTATATAAAACAATAAGCAAAATCGAATCAATTTTAAACTACAGATCTGATTCAAGAATTGTAGAGTCGGAGGCCAAGCCAGTAAGCATTGCCATTAATGGAGGTTAGATCGTAAACATTAAGGTGGACTGGTACAGATCCACAGAGAGAGAGAGAGAGAGGAGGGGTCAGAAATGGTAGTGGATTATCGGCATCGCTGTAGTCCAACGAGGAAGCCGAGACAAAAGGCTTGTGTTCCACGCGCTGAGTCCGACTCAGAGTGGACTCACCATCACTGTCTAGCCCTGAAGCTTGAGTAGCAGCTTCTACTTCTTCTCTTTCCCACGCTTGTCTTCATCTTCTTCGTCCTTGTTCTTCTCATCATTGTCGATGTAGTCATCGAAATCCAAAGTGACCTGATCGTCCTTGTCCAAATCTTCGCGACGATGGCGCTTCCAAATATGACGGTGAACCAGGTGGGGCCGAATGACAGTGATTTTGGGACGGGGTGGTGGAGACAGTAGCAACCATAGTTCTAAATCGCGGTATTGGGTAACGTAACGGTATCGATCGCGGAGTATCGGTATCGGTAGTATCGACCGGTACGTATCGAGTATCGGGCGTTGCAATTGTGAAATTTTAAAAATCATTAGCAATCCATATAAAACTCAATTTTATACATTTTTTTTTACTCTTTTAGCCTTAATTTATCACATTTTAATCAAAATTTTGATATGTAGAGGCACTTTTTTGACTTATTTTTAACTAAATGATATGTATTTATTTTAGTCTCAACCTTTTATTTGGCAACCACAAATTAATAAGAGAAAAAGGAACATGAAAATAAATCATTCGCTTCGGTCATAATCGCATACAAACAATCTACTATAAATCAACAACTCTAAAACTTGTAATAAAAAAATCTAAAATAATAAAAAAAATCTGAAATAAAGATTTGACAGATTAAAAAATCTAAAATAAGAAAAAAAATCTGAAATAAAAAATTTGACAGATTAAATCTCTTTAAATAATATATATAAAAAATATATATATTGAGCATATGTGCATTTAAAATATATATAAAAAATATTTTTATATATAAAAAATTATATTCTATGTCGATAATATATATATATATATATAATTATGAGAGAACAAACCTGCTCCTGAGTTATAAAATTATGAGTTCTATTCAGCTTCTGAACTTATGTGCATTTAAAATTATGTAAAAAATTGCTCCTAAGTTCTATTCAATCTCAATAATATATATATATATATATATATAATTATGTGCATTTAAAACAATAACCACAGAAAAAAACAAAACAAAACAAAACAAAAACAAATTATAAACAAACGAAGCACAACTTAAACAGCAAAACCATGACTTCTTCAGCCAAAAGAAAAAAACAGAGCATCACATATACAAACTTCTTCAACCAATAGAAAAGAACAGGGCATCACATATACAAAGTTTGCAGCTTCCTTAAGGATCGGACTGTATTACAAAGTTTACAGTTTGCAACTTTGTAGGTTGTGCATTACATATCTTCAGTTTGCAACTTTGTAAACTGAGCATTCAAGCTGTAAAGTCTACAAAGTTTCCAAGTTGTTTTACAAACAAAGCATCACTTTTGCAGGTGCTTTGCTCATTATTTTTTGTTTTTCCAGGTGCTTTCCTTTATTTTTCTCAATTATTTTTGCAGATGCTTTGCTCGTTTTCAGCCGTATCAGACTGTATCGGAAACAAATCGCTTACGCATTAGATTCAGGCCGATACATATCGGGAATCGGCCGCTACGGACGCGAAATTCATTCTCGCCAGTATACCGGTGAGTATCCGACTCGGCACTCTCATTTTCCGGTACGAACCGGCCGATACGGCACGTACCGGCAGATATTTAGAACCTTGGTAACAACCGAGACAGTAGCAGCTGAGACAAATCAACAATCAAACAAGAAATCAACGATTATACATATATATATATATATACAGAGAGAGAGAGAGAGAGAGATAGGGAGAGAGGTGGATATGCTTGAACAGAACGATGAAACAGATAAATTTGAGACAGCATTTACAATTAAACTTGTGGTGACTTGATTACGACATTTTTTATTATTTAAACTTGTGGTGAGATTATGGATTTTATAATTAATATTACGAAATTTTATGATAAAATTATACATTTTGTAGTAAGGTACATATAACATTTCCCTTTTAAAAAATTTAATTTCTAAAGAGAACAATTTTTTTTGAAACATTCAAAATTTTATTAAATGATAAAATTGGGAGAGAGGGAGTAGTATATAAACAGTTTAGGAAAATTCTAATATTCATCCCTTGAAAAGGGTTTACAAATGAAACCCCTTTTTCTCTGAGTTGGAAAAAAATGATACTCCGTGGTGTCATCGTTATAATCCTTAGGCTCCGAAATATAGGCCAGATTTATCTCAATCCAAAAGAAATGACTCATTATTGAGATAAGCGAAGAATGAACCAACCCCCAACACAGAAGACAAAGTCACGAACAGAGTATAGCACTGTCAACTTCAGTAAATAAATGGGTCGCTAGTCGTGCCCTTCAGGAATCGAGCCTTGTTCACCTATGTAAAAAGCTAACGTCTTTTCACTCCACTATCACCTCCGGTGATATATCATATGTATCTCTAATTATATCATTTTTTTCTTTAATTATGATATTATTTTAATTACGACTCATATATTTTTTAATTATGCATCATATTATGATATGTTTTTAAAATTATAATTTAAAAATATATAAAATTATACCCATTTTTTTAATTATGAAGTGCATATTCCCAACAGTTTATTCCAATGTAGTTGAAAGAGAGGGATAAGTTGAAGTTCAAAATAAAAATAAAAGAGTCAAGTCAATTTTTTCACAAGATAAACAGTTTTCACAAGATAAACAGGAAAGCCGTGAGTCATAAGAAAGTTAGCTGTTTAGTCTCAGCTTAATTACGCTTCCAGAGGAGAGAGAATAAACTTTGTTAGAAAGAGAAATGAAGCCATCTAGTTAGAGAGAGAGAGAGACAAGAAAGAAGAAAGCCAAGAGCGCACTCAACGCCCCTCTACAATAGTAGTGACGCCATTTCACGACATAATCAATCAATAGTGTACTCACTACGATTTGGGATCCTCTAAAGTGCATTCCTAGAGTGATCAGGTAGAATGAATTTATGAGGTTGTGACACTTGTTCCATTACTCACAAAAATAATATCGTTTTGGAAAATTTTTTTTTTTAAAAAAAAAAAAAAAAAAACCCCAGAGAGAGAGAAACAGAGATCACTACCATTTCACTCTGAGACCTCATGTGATCCCCCAAGGATCTACCACAGGGGAAGCTCTTGTTTCACAATTTGCACACATGTTTAAGCTCTTGATCTTCTTCCATTGATTAGAAATAGAGAAAAAAAGATCGAAAAGAAGTAAAAGAAAGTTCAAATCTAATCATAAAATTTGAAAAGTTATCACAATTTTGATCTCATTTATACTTTATGACCCCAAAATGATAAAGAAACAGAGGAATATAAAGAAAATACAAGAATTCAAATCAGGAAATTGATTAAAAGATGAAATAAAATATTGTTTTCTAGATTTGGTAATACGAAGAAGTAAAAGAAATTATAAGAAATTACAAGAAATTAAAAGAATCCAAATCAGAAGAAGTAAAAGATTGTTTTTTGGGTTTGATAATAATCACAGCGTTGGCCTCGTTGTGTTTAGCGTGATTTTGAAATTGGATTTAAACCAAACCCAATTTGTCACTATCAATTTCAAGCACACCTCTAGAGTTTTAAGAAGTTTATCTCATTTACAAAGACGAGTTTTATGTACCTGTGGTGGTAGTAGCTTTGAGTTCCAATG